AAGAAGAAGAAGAAGAAGAAGAAGAAGAAGAAGAAGAAGAAGAAGAAGAAGAAATATGAAATAAAATAAAGAGTGAGAAAAAAGTGAAAAGGGTTCAGATCAGTTTTTGTCTGGGTAAAGAGAAGCAGATCGACATGGGCACCGTCATTTAGTAGAGGCTCTAAGTGTAGGTTATATTCTCCAAAACGACAGAGGTAAAGAAAAGGAGTATGATCTGTCAGTGACGCCCTCAAGCCACCCACCACTTCATTTTCATTCAAGTGGCCGTGGGCATTAAATCTGTTACTTGGTGTCGATTGATTTTCGGCACATGTGTTAATAACATGTAACACGTGAGTCCATTATCACAGATGTACAATAACTTTTTTAGAGGCCAGGAGGCTGGGGTCATGCCACTAATTGACTGAGTGCAATGATAATTACAATATAAATGTACAGCAAACCCACGACAAGAACAACAACAACAGCAGCAGCAGCAACAACAACAACAACAACAACTACAACAACTACAACTACACCTACAACTACAACTACAACTACAACTACAACAACAACATCAATTTCGTCACGACTCATCATTCAGACGACAACAACAACGACCACAACAACCACGCCAAAAACATTTTAAAAAATGCCCTGAACGCAACTAATGAAGTTCCCTCACTGTTATAATTGCCCAAAACATTCCAAGTCCAAAAAGTTGCATAATGGATATCCACGTAACCCCGAATTAGGAAAGAGTCTTCCTCTAAGAAACGTTTTTGAGATAACCTCCCTCTTCAATGGACGCCTTTCTTTTTTTCCTTTCCTGAACGATCTATTTTTAAAGACATTTTCTATCTTTAAACAGGTGTGAAAAGAAAAACATTATGTTTTGGAATGCTTTGACCCACGAGCCGAGCGGAACCTCGGGGTGCTATTAACCATTATTGTGCCGTGTTTGGGAGTTCAGTCCCTCCCCTATGGCTGCTTTCTTCTCTTGCTTTAGACGTCAGCGGCGCCCGGACGCCTGTTGTTGTTCCCAGCGGGCTCTGTTGTGGAACGTCTATGCTTGTGGCTTGACACATTCTTCGTCTTCTCAGACCTTCCTTCTTTCCCACCAAGTCCGATCTTCTTGGTTCATTCTTTTGTTATTATTTTCCCCCACTTTGTTCTTATGTGATTGCGATTGGAGGGTGACACTGGTGTTTCCTACTTTTAAAAGCCCTCTGTTGTTTCAGTTTCTCCCTGCCAAGTCTTACTCCCCCTCCCCTGCGTTACACTTCTGTTAATGGTGTCGACGTGCTTCTTTTTATTCAAACGAACAAAAAATATACCAAATCATTTGTTGTTTTAAAAATATTAATATTCGGCCTGTCATTTTTTTAATTGTCTCAACGTTTATGAGGGGGGGTCTGTCCAATTAACATTTGCACTCATTTGATTTGGCCCTTAGACTGTCTGCCTGTCAGTTAGGAGGTGACTGGAGGGCGTCCTTTTAGAGACACTACTAATGATAACTGTTCTTCTTTCTTTTTTTTTATCTGCTTTTCTTTTTCCAAATACCAAGTGATCATCATTGTGTTGATGTATTTGTGTCTTGATATCGAACAAAAACGTGTTTACAGTGTTTAGTCCTGACGTTCTTAGTCTAGGCTCTGTCAGTGACGAAGGGGTCGCAAAGTTAAATCTGTTAAGCTGTCTTACCTTTTGTAAAGTGTTTTACGGCGCTCGCAACTGCATAGGTCATATGAGCGCGCGGGACACACCTAATATTTTCAGTTGGTAGGAAATTTTGAATTTTGCCCGGGTGGCGGCCGAAGCCTA